CGGCTGTTGCATGGCCCTGAGCAGCCAGTGCCTCGTTGCCCTCCTGGGCAGAGCCGTTAAAGTCACCCTAAAATGTGGCGTCTTCCAGGGGGTGCTGCAGCACGTGAACCCCGACCGGAGCCTCCTCCTGCGGACAGGTCGGGGCCGGCCCCCCCCCGGACGCCGTTGGGGGGGGATGTGGGTGAAGGGACGCGGGACGGGGATGGCTCGGGAAGCCTCGGCGCTGGGGTAAAGGGAACATAAAGTAGGAGTTGGTAGCACCTGCGTGTGCCCTCAGGTGTGAGGCTGCGCGGGTGTAGCAGTCCCGTCTTGTGTCCTGCTCGGCCCACAGTGTTTTGACAGAAACCCTCTTCTGTAAAGTGCGGGAGCTGCCACTGAAAATAACTCATTTTTTGATTAGTTTGTTTGTTTTCCCTAATTAATAGTACTACCTGGTCCTATGTTCTTGCTTTGCTCTGCAGATGCTACCCCAAACAGTGGAACTTGATGTATGTCTGGCTTTTTCTCATTTCAGTGAAGAACTTGGAAACTGGCAGAAGCAGTCCAGGAATAAAGATGTTTTTTGGCCCTGAAATAGTAAATGGTGAGGCTTCTCTTAATGCATTTTGGGGCACAGGGATGTGCCTGCTCTTAGCTCAGCATTTTAAATCCATTGTTTGGTCACTCCACTGAATTCTTCAATCGCACATCTTCTTAAAATCAGTAGGAATTCAAATGTTGTATAAACTACACAACCTTCGTTCCCCTGTTAACTCTCAGTGAAGTAATAGGCATTCTCCACTCTGTGAACGTGCAGACTGTACTGCATTAAAGCTTATTAGTTAAATAATAAAATCTAATAAGACCACTAATAAAAGTAACCCATCTGAAGGTAATCAGTTGAGATAAGCACATTGTATGGTTATATCCTGAAGGGAAGTTACATTCATTGTGTATGTTCTTATATGTGCAAGACTTTTGTTAGTAGTCTGCTGGTAAGTGAAGTTGCTTAAAGTTCTAGTTAACTCGGATTTGCTTTTACTCACACAGGCAAAAGCATCTCTATTAAATGGTCTGTTTATCTGAGCCTCTTTCTGTGATTCACTACTGATAAGAATATGGAATTAAGAAAAATGTTTCCAATTATAAAGGTCCCATGTGTTTCTGTTGGCATCTGCTTTTCTTTGGGGACAAGGAGCAAAGTTCTGAGGGGAAAATAGAAGGCAGTTACGGGACTTACCCAGTGATTAACTGACTCCAGTCTTTTTCCTTGTACCTTCAAAGTAATTTCCTTGTAGTCCTCGAAGTAATTGTTTGGTACTGACTTTGTTTTGGTGGGATGCTAAACCATTAGTCTTATTTAAGTGGTAGTGTTCTGAAATGCACCTTGCCTAGGCTACCCATGGAAGTTATTTTATATAGCTTTGTATAGCAGAGTGATTTTTAAACCATTTAAACTATACTTTGAGTTCAACTTATTTTTTTACACGTATGGTCATGTCCTATGGTGATTAGTATTAGTTATGGTTCTCCTTTTTTTAAGGGGGAGGATAACAAGTGCTCATCAACACTAGAGTATAAATTGTTTTTTTTTCTATTGCAGTAGAATTGCTGGATGACCCAGATTCAGGGAAGGGAACAACAGAGCTCTCTGAGTATGTTGAAGAGTTTCCTTCCTTTCATAGTAGGAGAAGGGGTGGGATGGGCTTGCTAAGGGAGCCACCACTTAGATTTAGCATAATACTGATGTTCAGACTCAGCTGTGCTGAGTTTGTATTTCTCTGCTTTATAGAGGTGGTTAGTGGAAGACTTCCACTGCAGAAGAATTTGCTTAGCTTGTTTCCTTGTCAGCTTGTGGTTTCAGGGAGGATTTCCCATACACATTTCTTCTGTGGTGGAACAGTTCCAGGACAATCACACAGGGAAGGTTAGGTTTAAACAGATGATCTCTAATAATATATAAATGTGATTTTGGGAAGTGGGTAAAAATACAGTTCAAACTCCTGCTGACCCATGATCCTAGACAGCTATGGTTTGAGTCTTCTCACAAGACCACATTTGAATAGTTTATTCTTTCTATTAAAAAAAGTAGGAATGAAGTGTTGTCTACTGAATAGTCCTTAAAATATGGCTAAAAGGCACACAGAATTGTGATTAGCAGCAGTCTTGCTTGCTGCTGTCTTCTTTCTCCCTGTTAAGTAAGTCTATGTTCAGACATACATGAATATGGTCACCTCAGTAAGATTGCCATGTTAATCCTTTAAATATACATTTTTAGGTACAAGGTTCTTCAGCTATACCTGAAGGCTTATAAGAAAGGTTTTTTTAATTTATTCTACTGAGATAGATATGTACATAATTTGAGTTCTGTAGTCATAATGGGATGGTTTTATATCAATACAATGAAAATGATATAATAACTTCCATTTGATTACAGTAAAATTTAAGTGGAATTGGCGAACTTCTAAAATCACCCTCCAATTACAGTAACTAAATAATGGATCAGCTATTACTGATTCAGTGTGAAAGACTTACAAATACTTAAATTGTGTGGTTCTTGGGCTCAGCTCAGATAGTTCATTCTTTGAACTCTCTTCCCTTGAAACCATTGCTGACCTTGACAATAAACATCTACTCAGGTTCTTTCAGAATAAATGTGAAATTTTATATGAAATAAAGGCCCTTTTGTGCAAGATAAGCTTAAAGTTGAGTAGCTTCAAGATCTGCTTTAAGAACCATGCACACTGGATAAGGATGTTGCATTGTATGCAGCGGTTCATTGTCTGGACACAAGTAGATGGCAGTGGAAGAAATATTTTTCTTTATTAAAATGCCCATGCTGGTGGAATGTGTAGTGCTTTGACATCTTCTATGTATGGTTGTCTTGTTCATGCAGGTGCGCTTCAGCTGTTGAAGGGAACAAACAAGCAGACACAGGACCAGCAGATTGTGGACCCTGTAGTTCTCCTGCTTCCCTAGAGAGCCAGCTTAGAGCCTCAAATAGCTCAAAATGCTCCCTCTCAGGTAATGTGGATATTAGTCAAGCAGTGCACTTAGTCTATGTCAGACATCTTTCCCAGAGGCTGTCATCTCTTGGTTTGCCAGTACCAGAACAGGATGTGTTCTCAAAGAACAGTGGTCACAGAAAGATAGATACAGAGCTTGTTATTGGCAGACATGCTCTTTGCCTGCAGAAATGTTCACAATATCAGAAGGAAACTCATCTGCTTTCCAGAATGTTTATCCTGTATCTCTCATCAACTGTAAAAGTGGCTGAGCAGCACAATTTTGGGGGAAATCAAAGTGCTTTAGCCAGTAAGCATTCCTCTCTGGTGATTATTTTAATCTTATACTTGTTCCTGAAATGTATGTGGCTTGATACGTAACTCAAAGCTCAGCAAGACTGTCCCTGATTGCATTGATTTTGTTGTGTGCTTCCTGCTGCATACAGATACACAGGTAGAGAAGTAAAATGTGATGAGCTGCTCCTGTTCATAGAGCTGTAACAAGAGGGCAAGACCCACATAGGTTAAAGGAGGGTTAGCTGCATTTACCTGGGTAGTGGGGGAGAAAATGAGCAAGGGTTGATGTGATCTGGGGGAGCCTTTAAACATTTGTTCTTACAATCATTAAATTGACTATTATTTTAGAGTTTATTATTAACATTTGCATCTTACCTACAGAGAAGAGAGAATTTTTTTAAGAGAATCCTTCTTTGCCTGTTCATTAGACATTGTTAAATAGGTGTTTAAAATATTATAATCTGGCTTAAAATCTCATTACCTCCTTGGCCACTTAGTTACCATGTTCTGTGGTGGCACTGTCTGTTAGTTTTGTCTTTGTTACAATCTTTTTCCTTCCCTGGACAAGCCTGGGAATTAGGGTCCTTTTTAAAAAACAAAAATACAACCCCCAGAAAAACCCCAGATGTAATTTTTTAAACTGAAGCTCTTTTGTTTCCTTTATGCAGCATAACAGCAAGAAGTAATGCTGCAACTCACTTTTAAACAGCCAGTCTTTCTGTCAAAACCCAGAATTTTGGGTCATGCTCTAGGCTGTATATATCTGAATCGGATGGGTCAGTAACCTCTTTGGGTGTGTTCAGGAGGTGGAGGGGGAATAACTGAACAACTAAACCAGAAGCGTGATTATTCACCTAAAGTACATACCCTGTAAAAAGCTCATTCAAGTAGAGGAAGCATCTATTGATTTCTTTTTTCTTCCTTTTAGAAAAGAAAGAAGAAGAGAATGTGGAGTACACAGTTATTGATTCTTTCCAGGAGAAATTTGGCCCAGCAGTAAGTACTGATAAAAGCTCTTATGCAGCATATATGACTTCCAAGCCTGTTGAGTTCCATTAGGTGGCAGGCTTGTGAGCACTGCTTCCAGGACCTCTTCTACTGGAAATCAATTTTGCAGACTGTAGTGAAATTTAAGCAATAGGTAGTAACTGGTTTCTTTAAGTCAAGTAGAAATGGTATCTCTGGCAGCATCAAAATACATTTAAAGTGGGCACAGATGCAAGGAAAAAGGGCAGTGCATGTGAGTTTGGGTGGATGTGAATCTGCATCAGTGTGTGTTGGTTGCCATTTTTCAGAATTTATCACCAGAAACTGAGGTGAAGGGTCAGTATTACTACATAATTATTTTGTTTAGGAAGGGAACAACGCAAGGATTTGTTGGCATTTGGAGAGGGAATTGATTGCGTTGTTTTTGTAGGTGTTTGAAACTCCAGACATGCCTGGACTTTTCTTTTAAATCACATATAACATAAGTGGACTTGGTAGAAAGTGAGTTTGTTTCCAAACTCAGCTTTTGGTAGAAAGTATGAGTTTGTTTCCAAACTCATAGCCAATGACAGATATTTTTATTACATTTAGTAAAGTTTTTTAGATCCTGAATTGTACCAGTAATACTACAGGTCCTCCAGGCCATTTTGTCTTGTAGTAGTATCAGCTGGGATTTGGACTCTTACTATGGTAAATCTATTGCACATACAGAGGAAAACGCTCTTTGCCGCAGGAAGAGATTTCTCTGCTTACAGAGGAAATGAACTGTCACTTCAAAAAGAAGCTGATTTTTTACTTTGTGTTTATGCTTTCTACTCATGTGTTGCACATGCACTACAGATTGCTTTCTTCTAATTGTCTGAAAACTTTTTGTCTGTGGAAGTACCAGGTTTACAATTTGTCCCTCTGTCTGTCATCCTCCACACTACTTATTTTGCCCCTATTTCTTTTTCATTAGGTGCTGCACCTAAAACAGCAGTGTGTGGTCAGTATAGCAGGAGAAGGTGTTAACTTGTGTCGTTATGGAAAACTCTCATGGCTTGAGGTAAGAGGCAGGTATTTCCCAATATGTGCCACTAAACAGAGGCACAACTGAGAAGAATTTGGAGATTAGCCTGTGCTTACGACGTACGTGACTGTTTTGGGATACGATATTCATAAGACAGATGAGGCATTTAGTAAAATACCTGTCATGGAAATAATTAGGCCATTATAAGGCAATATCCAAATTACTGAACTTGTATGTACTGTCTACATTTGTATATAGCAGGGTAGCATATTTGGTTTGCCATCTTTATGAACGTGTACGCAGGTAGAGGTATTACACTAGCACGGCTGTTACCTATTGAAAAAATGGCAAGACCTAGTCACACCACCAGTACGAATGAAGGAGTAAAGTCCATCTAAAGATGATACAATATCTTAATTAGATGCAATACTATCAATATCTGAAAAGGAAGGGACTGAAAGGAGAGTAGCTTAATATGTTAGCTTAACATTGTCTTAGTTTATTTTTAAAAAGGTTTTAAAGTGAGTGTTTATTCAAACCAAAAACTTGTCCATGAGTTTATGCTTCAAACTTAACTCGTTTATGCAGAGTTAAGTGTCCACAAAATGTTTGCTTTGGTATGGCTAAATTGCTTTCAAATTACAGCTTTTGTTAAACCATTATGAATCTGAACATAGGCAAAACCTAAATTTTATATCTTGTTTGAAGTGCTAGGATGGAAAATTATGTCCTTTATTTCTTTGGTCTTTGACAATGAAGGCAATGTCATGGGCACAAGAATCCTATTGGAAGTGGTTAAGAATGTCACCATAATAGGTGTAGGAATTTATTTTTAGTACTGTGCATAGGGTTTGCTCTTGATGTGTCCCAAAATACTGTATGTAACTTCTATAGTAGACACCAGGGCCGTTCTTTCTAATTATTGTGAATCTCTGGGCATCTCTGGAAAAAGCAGGACTTGTCTATGAGTTAGCATTAAGGAAACTAAACCTGGTCACCCCAACACAACCTCTACATAGGAGTTTATGGCTGGTGGGTAACCGTACACTCTCTTCTACTTTCACGTCCTTTGTTCTTCTGTCCCTCACTCATTTTCTCTGCAACTGAATTTGTTGTAGATAGCATCGAAGAGCCGCATTTTTCTGTTTGATATCTTCCTTCTGGGACCACAGGCTTTCAAAAATGGATTACAAATGTTGCTGGAAGATAAAAACATTTTGAAGGTAAGGGGTGAGTGAGGATATTTATGGTGGCAGAGGTCGTATACATATGTAATGACCTAGCTGCACCAAAAAAGCTGCAGTTGGACACGAGTTTGTCTGACAGCTCATTCTTGCTTCAGGTCATGCATGATTGCCGCTGGATCTCAGACTGCCTTTTCCACCAGTATGGTGTCCTCCTCTCCAACGTCTTTGATACACAGGTACCCTCAGAATATTCTGGTTGGGAACAAGAGTTGCAACAGGAAGAACTTCAGCCTTGTTTAGGGCATTCTCTTAGAGAAGGTTTAACATTACTAGAATATGACAGTTGTGGAACCATGTAACTGCAGTGGTTTTGTCCTAGCTAAAATGAACCAGCAGGCAATGATGATAGTGTTAGTCTTTTGTAGACCCATTTTAAAAGGTAGTTAATACATAGTATTAGTAGCAAGTTTAATGTGTGTCTGGAGGGAGTTAAGATGTATTAACTTGTCTTGCTTAGACTTGACACAACCTGAGGCTACTGTGACTTAAACAGAAGCCAGGTCAACTTTTGCTTTATATTCTTTGTTCTTCTTTCTGCCCCTTTTGAACATGTGGAAGCCGATTCAGGCTATAGGTATCCAGCACGTGGAAGCACCTGCTAATAAAAGCAGTGGTTAAAGTGAGAGAACAGGCCAGATTACCACAAATCTGTTTTTGATGGTGCTGGCCCTGGTAGTTGTGGTAGTTAATGTGTGACAGAAGAATTAGAGCCTTTTGAGAGAGGAAAACAGTAACATCATGGCTGTGATCTTTTATGATGGGCACGGATATCTTAGACCTAATTATGTATGACTTGTCCTTGTGTATATACTGACTTTTCATGTCATAGATAACAGTAGCATTTCAAAGTCCTAATCTGGGCTATGTAGTAAGCTTTATACAGCAGAGGTTTCTCAGTCCATTTCTTATCTTAGGCATTTGCCCCTAAAAATTATGTTATTCCATTACAGATGAAATATCAGTCAATATCAGTGTTAATTCTTGACTGCAATAAAAGTATAGGGGAGAAAATATCCCACCAATGCTCTCAACTGGACTGGCTAGAATGTAACTGGAACAGTGGAAATAACTAACCAGAGCTATCCACTCTCAGGTCTGAAGTACACAGAATCGCACTCATTGTTCTGCTGTCTTGTATAAGCTGACGTGTGATTTCCTTGCACTAACAGATCTCTAGACTTAGATTCAATTACTCTGATTCATTGGCCTGGATCCTACTTCTGATGTCAGTAAGCTAGTGAGGTAGTCTGGTTTTGGCTCCTTCAGTACCTGATCCCGTGGAATTAAGCTGTCTTGTCTTCTACTGCTGGAGCAAATAACTGGGAGATACCTCTGAGCAAACTCTCATAGATGCTTTATGTGAAGTGCTTTTTAGAGACAACTTCCCAGTGTTAAAATTGGAACAGGCTGCGTGCACAAGTGAGACTCTGCTTAAAAAGCACAGCAATGGAATGAAGAATTCTGGTTTAGCTGGGATCCTGCCTGCATCATTTGAAAAGTGTTACTTATCCCTGGTTTTGGCCAGTTGCTGCAACTGTTTCTTCCTTGCAATAAGTAACCTAATATAATTAACACAACATGTAGAGGTTGGCAGTGAAAGGTTTCTGATGTTCACTGTCTGCCCCATTAGTGTTCTTACCGTACTTAAGCTATCACCTGTTGAACTAACTTTGAATTATAATGTTTGTGGAAGTCTGATACTGCTATTTCACATTTGACTGCCTGGGAGGCAGAAGGGGTAGATGATCCGTGTTGGGTTACAGCAACCTAAAAAGCCATGTAGTGACGATGCAACTGGCTGTTGTCAGTGCTTGCATCCCTAACACTGCCTTCTGGGACACTTCTATCCTGCATCATGACGCATTCTCACACTCTGAAATCACTGCTTATTGTAAAATGTTTTTGGTTGCTTATCTGTGTACTACCATGAGAAATAATACAATTCTTCCTAGAGATGTCTGGAAAACATTGACATATTTTTTACTAGAAACTCTCTAAGCATCTAGAAGAATGGAGTATCTTTCCATAGATGTGAACATCATCTTTAGTTTGACTTTGAGTAAAAGTAACTTCTTGCTTTGAGAAGGTCTTTCTCGAGGCTTCTCTTCATCTGTGTTTGGCCACTGAGAGTGAAAAGCCAGAGAAAGTTTTAGTGGTCAGAAGTACAACATAAAGGACTGTTCAGTAATGAGTAAAGAAGACTTCCTCTTGACCTGGTGGTTTGTGCTTATAATCCAGTGAAGTTCAGCATTTCTTGGATCTTCTTCATTTTCTTCTCTTCAGTTAACTCATCAGTTTGAATTGTTGCAGATCCTTTCCCCAGGTGTGTTTCCTGCCCCTTTTCACCTGGTGGTTTTAGACTTCTCTGGACTGCAGGAATGTAGTCAGCCTAGCAGAAATAGAGGCAGTCCCAGATTCTCTGTCCCACCACAGAACATAGGAGGTCTGACATTTTCCTTAGTCCAAGATTGATTGTTCTACTTGTGATGCTTTTACATTTTGCATTTTCTTCATAGTACCCTCATACAATCTTTTATTCCTTGGAAATTCAGTGAATGGATTGGCTTAGCACTTTCTTCTGGTAAGCTTGGCAAATACCTGGCTTCTCTCCCAGAGAAAGCAGCAGTTAGCTATTTAGCTGATGTCTTAGAGGCAGCTTTAGTCATTAATAAATCATACCAGCTTGTTTGCCTTTGGTATCAAACAGGAAGAGACTCCGTCTCCCCTTAAGATCTTAGAGATAAGTTAGGAATGGGGATTTGGTGTTGCAATTTATCTTTACAATAGGAGGCCAGAAAAAGACAGTCACAGTTCTGTGGTCACTGCTGTTGTAGGGGCTGAGTTGGTGGTGCCAAAGGAGTCAGTTTAGTAGACCTGCAACTGTATGCAGTCAAAATGAGGATTAATTTGTTTGCAGTGTACTTTGCTTCTCTCATGCATCCCCACTGTAAAACCTCCACATTCTTTGCTTTGGGTTAACTGACACTGGTCATGGCATATTGATCCCTCCCATCACAGGTTGCCGATGCTCTGCAGTTCTCAATGGTAACAGGCGGCTTCCTTCCACACCGGGTCTGCACTTTGCAGGAGTGTTTGATGCACCACTTGAAGATACCTTCCAAATGGGATGCCATCATGAAGTGCAGGCAGCAGATGGCTTCAGTGAGTGATTGAGTGAGGCATCTTGTGAAGACTCAACTGTGAGCTGTGCTTGCCTATCTTGAGATGTTTCTACTGGGTGTTTTTAAGTGCATGGCACTATGCAGTGATCACATTGCTGTAGTTAAGGACATTTTTTAACGCAAGCTTTAGTTGGCATCAGTGCTTATGCTGGTATTTCCTAATAGCTCATGTGAAATTGTGGTATTGAAGAACCACAAAGCTTGTACAATAGGGGATATATATAGCTTGGGTAAAAAAAAAATCCCAGATATCTTAATATATTTGATTAATTTTGAAACCTAGTTCCAACAGAACAAGTTGGTTAAAATGAATCCTGAGTCAAGTAAGGAAAGAGGAAATTTATTGCCAGCACTATTAGAATGAAAAAATGAATGGTGAATTTTTTTTCTTGCCTGTGCAGTTCAGCAGCATTTGCCAAATCATTATTCTCTATTGTCTTTGGTTTTGTTAATCTTTTGGATGGGGACAAGCAAGGGAAAACTTAATGGGCCATGAGCTCCTATGATTTAGGGAACATAAGCTTGATAAATAGAATAGACTATTTCAGTTGCAAGGGATGTACAACAATCATCTGATTATTGTAGTCCAACTCCCTGACCAGTTCAGGGCTGACCAAGTTAAAGCATGTTATTAAGGGCATTGTCCAAATACCTGTTAACACTGACAAGCTCGGGGCATTGACCACCTCTCTAGGAAGCCTGTTCCACTGGTTGACCACCCTCTGAGTAAAGAAATGCTTCCTAATGCCCAGTCTAAACCTCCCCTGGTGCAACTTTGAACCATTCCCATGTGTCCTATCCTGGGATACCAGGGAGAAAAGCTCAGTACCTCCCTCTCCACTTCCCCTCCTCGGGAAGCTGTAGAGAGCAGTGAGGTCTCCCCTCAGCCTCCTTTTCTCCAAGCTAAAAAAGCCCATAGACTGCTGCTCATAGGACATTCCTTCCAGCCCTTTTACCAGCTTAGTTGCCCTCCTCTGGATGCATTCATGGGCCTTCACATCCTTCTTTTGTTGTGGATGCCCCATCCCTGGCAGTGTTCAGGCGCTTTGAGCTCCCTGCTCTAGTGGAAAGTGTCCCTGCCCATGGCAGGGGGTTGGAACTGGGTGATCTTTAAGGTCCCTTCCAACCCAAACCATTCTGTGATTCTATGATTCTTAAATTGTGAGGCCCAGAACTGCACACAGAACTCCAGGTGAGGCTCCACCAATGCTGAATACAGCAGATAATCACACACACACCCCCTCCTAATTCTGAATATTTATACAATGCAAATTAGCAACTCCCTGTAATCCTTCCACCGTTTACCAATTGGTCAACTAATTTGCATAAGGACATAATCCTTAATTGGTCAACTAATTTGCATAAGGATTGCATAACTAATGCTTTGCTACGTGTGCTCAGGGGAGGCTCTCCCGACCTGGACAAGGGTCTTTTGACCTATGGATGTGATTTTTGTATTAAAACAAGATTATAGTGGGGATAGTTCACCAAAAAGACACCTAATCATGGTTTTCTCACTCGTGAAAAACGTATTTTGATGAGTGTTCAAGTGTTGTCAGGATGTAGCAGACTTCAAGGATGGTCTCTCTCGATTAGAGGTTCATTAATCTTGTTTTTCTCAGTTTTATTTTCCTTGATTCTGTTTTTCCTCAGTCTTGTTTTTCTTAAGTCTGCCCACAAGGGCAAAGTCTCTCCAGCTATCAGTTCTCATAAATCACTGTTGTTTCTCAGGTCTTCTGACCCTTTGAGATACCTTGTTACCTGTTCAGGCTCTTTCACAGTAACGCAAATTTCGGTTGCTTAACCAAACACCTGTGGAATTTCAACTATACATGATTGTGGAGTTTAAATACATGCTATGGAGCTTGAGTGGCTCTACTTACGCAGATTTTGGTGTGAAATTCTCTCACTTGACAATCCTTGTTTCTCAGCTGCCTGGTGGTTTATCAGTACATGGTGTCTTCAGTACATGTAGGAGTTGGAACAGAGCCTGGCTGTGGTGTCTCCACTCTGCTCCACTCTCCATTCAGTTTACCTTGGCATATGCCAAGGTCACAGAGTTGCCTGGGGAACTATTGTAGGGTAGATTCTGTGCATGTTAACTGCAGTCCATCCTAGAAGTAGCAGCTGCATTTTACCCTAAAATTTCTTTCATATTGTAACAGAACTTGGAGGATTGGGGGAGGGGGGGGGAATAATTTCCCCCCTTTATTCCACACCAGCATTATCCATCCTAAGTGCAGAATCTAACATTTTGACTTGTTAAATTTTAAGCCATTAATCAGTCCAATGCTCCAATCTATCTGGACCCCTCTGCAAGGCCTCTTGTCCCTCAGGAGAGTCAACAGCACCTCTCAGTTTGGTATTGTCAGCAAACTTGCTAATAGTGCACTCAACTCCTGCATCCAGATCATTGATAAATGTACTGAACTGGCCCTAGAATTGAACCCTGAGGAACACTGCTGGTGACCAATCAGAGGGAGTCCCATTCATTACAACCCTTTGACACCCAGCATGCTGTAAACCCGTTTTTCCCCCTGTCATGGTTTAAGCCCAGTTGACAGCTACATATCACACAGGTGCTCGCACCCTCCCCCCCCCCCATCCCCAGTGGGATGGGAGGAGAATTGGAACAAATGTAAAACACACGTGGGTTGAGATAAGAGCAGTTTAATAATTGAAATAAAAGTAAAATATAATGGGAAATAGAGGAAGGAATAAAACCCCCCTCCCCAAGAAAAAATCAAGTGTTGAACCGTACAATTGTTCACTACCTCCTGGCTGATGCCCAGCCTGTCCCTGAGCAGCGGTCAGCCCCTTCCAGCCAGCACCCCCAGTTTATATACTGGGCATGATGTGCTGTGGTATGGAATACCCCTTTGGCTAGTTTGGGTCAGAGGTCCTGTCTCTGCTCCCTCCCACATTCTTGTGCCCCTTCTCACTGGCAAGAGCAGGAGAGACTGAGAAGTCTTTGACCAGGGTGAGTGCTACTGAGCAACAACTAAACCATCAGTCCTGTCTCTGCTCCCTCCCACATTCTTGTGCCCCTTCTCACTGGCAAGAGCAGGAGAGACTGAGAAGTCTTTGACCAGGGTGAGTGCTACTGAGCAACAACTAAACCATCAGTGTGTTATCAACATTGTTCTGAGACTAAAGCCAAAACACAGCACTGTGCCAGCTACTAGGAAGAAAAGTAACTCTATCCCAGCTGAAACCAGGACACCCAGTTGGACAGCTTGTCCAGAAGGATGCTGTGAGGGACAGTACTAAAAGCCTTGCTAAAATCCAGAAAAACTACATCCACTGCCTTCCCTTTATCCATTAGGGGGGTGACCTTATCATAGAAGGGTATCAAATTAGTTAAATAAATATGAGAGTGCCAGTTGTGGGCACTCTTTTTGCTGGCTTTTTAATTGCTTTTCTGGGATGGAGGGGAGGAAACAGAGCTCCAAGAAAGCTATTAAATATGGGAACCAGATACTTAATGAGACCTCACTATATACTCAGGATTTCTTGACTGAATAGAAACTATTTCTTTCCTACCAGATAATTTTTTCTCCTTTCATACTGGTCTTGTAACTTCCTGAGTAAATCTGCATCGTTTTGCACTGCCTGGTCATAGACTTCAAATCTTTTTCAAAAGCCTGGATTAAATGTTATTCATTATTGCTCTAACAGCTACTCAGTGAAACCTCTAATTTGAACACAGCTTTAATTTTGTGTAAGTTTTGGATCTCTAAGAGCATCTCTCAAAACTCCAGTGTAGAGAATTCTGTATGGCAACTCTAAGCCTTCCTTAGTTTACCAGACCAAATCCTCCTGTTAGTCTGAAGACTAAAAGTGGAAAATGACCCTATTAATATATGTAGTAAGTACACCAGTGTAAGTCACTCTTACAGGTAATGGCTGAAGACAACTTCCCCAGTTGCTTCCCTGGCTCCCTTGATGGGAGGCTTTTTCCCTTTACATCTTTCAGCTCAGTTTTTAGGAATCCAGCCTTGTTCCAGAGATGGGTGAGAGAGAGAGAGAGACTAGCATTAAATGGTGGAATAGGTGTGTATTGGGTTTTGGTTTGTTGGGTTTCTTTAAAGAAGCAATCCCACCTCCCAGACTCCTCCTTTTCTAACATACATAGGCTTGTACACAGATGGCCTTGGAAGCTGCAAGCACTCAGTAGCACTTAAAATAGGGATCAGCACTGGGAGATGTGTTGTAAACTGCAGAAAAATGTGATGAAAAGCTTTGCTCTGTTTTTTTGCTATTTAAGTAACTGTTTTCATTTGCACTGGGAAACACAGGAGAATCCTGACATATGGTTCCTGAGACCCTTTCCACCTTCACTGCTTAAAGCACTTGCTCTGAAGGCTATGCACCTTTTGCTGCTTCACTCATCTCTAATGGAGACCTTGATGTCTGATCTAACAGCTGTAGTACATGATTACTTGAATACTTATCGCTCTGGGTCTGGAGATCACCTTTGTAGCACAAAGGTAGGTAAGTCTTTGCTTGTTTCTCTGGTTAGTGATTTGATCTAAGGCTTTGATGGATGCATGCTGGAGGACCTAGCAACAGCAGCTTCCTTTTCTGCAACTGTACATCCTAATTGATGCCACACAGCTTGTTTCCCATGTGCACCAGCAAAAGGGATGTCTGTATCTACCTAGCTACATTTCATGTTAGTCCATTAGCACAGGGTATTGTGGATGGTGATCTGCAGCTGTTAAAGCATGGGCAAAGGCACATGTGCCTTCTGTTCAGTCTCATGGCAGACTCTGGGCTCAACAGGGGCTATGTATGTGTGAGGCATGAAGAGGGACCGGTAGGTGTGAAATGTTGGTGCCTGGAGCTGCCAGAATTGCTTTGTTTTGGTAAGAACATTTAGTCCCCAAATCTTGTTCTGTTTTTCTCCTACTCTGTCATCTTTACTGCTGAGCTATTTTGCATATACCAGCTGCTTCTGAGTAATGTTGTCTCTTGTTGGCCAAAGATTTTTATTTCTGTAAAAGCACCTCTGAGTTATTGTGTCTTCCCAAATTATTCTCAACTGTTATCTTAAAAAAATAAATAGAATCAATGATTTTTCATCTTTGGTTACATAGAACCGGTAGTACTGTGTGTCCAGACACCTTGGAGTGGTTCTTGTGTAATTGCTTGTTAATTTTTAATATGGGGGAGGTGGTGGTGGTGATGATAAAGGAGATGATTTCTTGCACCAATGGAAGGAAGCAGTGCTATTGCTGTGGTGTTTTTTCTGTCTTCTCAATGAAGTAATCTTGGGGTTTGCAATAACTATGTCAGATACTGCTGGCATTAAAGTTGGGTGAAAAGTGAATGGTCAAACATCCTCATTCATCACAGAGACTGAACTAACCTGATCAAATCTTGTTACTGCTTGATTTTTGCAGTTGTAAATGGCTTGAAATATTTATTAGGAAAAAAAGCATGCAGGTTTACCTTTGTTAAAGAAATTGTTTTCTTTGCCCTGGTTTAACAAAGCACTCAAGCACAGACTTGAATCCTTTGGGAATGACTTAAGGGCTCACAGCAGTAAATCCATTACTGAGGATTTAGGAGATTAGTTTAGATAAGCACAAGAGGTCATAGTTGCTTCATAGAAGGCAGAGAAGAGGTCATATCCAAAAACCTTTTCTTTTTAGAGGAGAGCTGCCAAAAAAAAGAAGGTTGTTCATGGAAAAAATATGAGCTTGACATCTGAATTTCCCATGTGAAATGCATGCAAAAGTAGGTGTGACACAAGGGAAAAGAACAGTCTGTTACACCGAAAAGAGTACAAATCTTGGTTGGCATTGGGCTATTTGTTTGTAGTAGTTTTTTTAAGTGGTACTCAGGTTTCTGGAGTCAGACCTTTTGTAAATCCATTTATTCCATAAGATTAGCCAAGGAATTAATCTGATCCTGAGCATTTCAAATGGCATTTTAAAGATCTATTTGATACCACATCTGATAATCGTATTTCCTGCAGTTGTTTTAGAAATCTTGTAGCGTGGATGGTAAAAGTAGCCATTTTCAGCATTATTTCCCTGTTAATCACTTTCTGTTGTTTTGTATCTTGTGAGAAGATCACACAAATGAATGTATCTTCTACCTCAGTGAAAATTTGCTTGCCATACATGTTTAAACTCCAAATACGGAGCTTGGTTTAGTTACACATGGTCTGTTATTAAGTTTCTTCACTGAGTAAGCCATGAAAGTTAACTTTAAGGGAATCCTTTGCATGTTTATGAGTTCAGCTAAGTCTGTTTTAAGGAAGGAAGAAAAAAAGAGAAAGAAAGCAACACTCCTGTGGAGCAGGGATTACCTCTCACTGGGGGACGCTGTAGCAGTTAGGAAGCTGGATGCACATTCATCTGCTTAAACAGAACTGAATGTGGGGTGTCTTCAAGTGCTTGCTCTGCTGGTTTTCTGTAATCCTGTTGGAATTATTTAGCATTCCTCTGGCTCGTGCACACTTCTAGACACAGGTTTTGTGAGGCATGGCTTCCCTTAACAAATGCTCTGGTAAGTCTTTTCCAGTGCATTACACTGTATATCCACTCATTCTGTTCTTCACTGTGTTTCTACCAGTATGCTCACACAGATTTCTGACTTACCAGCATGCTGCTTCCTGTATTTTTCCTGGGACCTTCTCTAAACATTTACCATCTTCCAATCCCTAGGTATCAAGGCAGATTTCAGACAAGATATGATAGTTACTAGTTCAGCTTTTTCATCTTCCATTGTTCACGTTTTTATTGTGCTGCTTTTGTGTTCTGATCATTGCTTGACCCTGCAACATGGTTGACATTTTGTTAGTTCTATTATATTTTTGTTAAATATTAATGAAGTTATTCTGGCCTACCTGTTGGTTTTCTTCTGTACCTTTACCCTTACTGTTTTCTTCACTTGGATGCGGCTTTGCTTTCCTAAAGGATGCTTACTTCATAGTCTCTATTCCTGTAACCTGTAGTCCTGCCAATTTCCTTTCACTCTTTCTGTGATATTTTGTTGTTAACTGATGTTCACTCTATCTTCATTGTATGTTTTCTTGAAGTTGTCTCCATGCTACCTGCTAGTATTGAATTTGCTTGGCTGCCTCTTACTAGGTTTTATCAAGCTTCCTTATTTGTGTAATTCCCCTTTGTACAGCTGTGGATTTTGTTGTTGTTCCTACCAAGATGGTCAGCATTGCAGTCCTTGGTGAGGAGCAGATCTCTGAACGCAGCATCTTGAACAATATCGCACACACTGCTCAGGACCAAATCAAGGAGTGTATCTCCTTTTGTATACTTCCTAAGCAGGCGTTTCAATGATCTGTTAACTATGTTGGCTTTTTCCACCAAAAAAAGTGCCTTAGGATAGAATACTGTGGTTTTAAATGAAAATCTGGGAAAGCTGCCTTTGCAGTGGCTCCTACAAGGAAATATGAATTGGTTATACCTCTTTTGGGTGTTTACAACAACTTCATTGTGCAAAAGGTTTCTCAGGAGACATACGAACACTCCCCCTCCCCCCCCATATGTGAATTATTACTTAGATCTTGAAAATCTTAATAATAAAGGAGTGAACAATAAATGCAAGTCTAATACTTTTCTCTTTGGGTTGCCTTTAAAAGAAGGAGTTGAGGGGGACTTTTTTCCCTCTGAGGTATTGTTTGTGTAAGCAGGTAGTTGATACGTTCCACAGATCTAATAAGAGATGATTGTTCTGTTTCATTGGCTAATTACAGAGGGAGATCATATCTGGTGCTAACAAAATTAGAGCACATGTAGGCATATGTATTGATTTCACTTCTTTTCTCTTTCTTTTCGTGTTTCCTTATCAGCCCACTTGTATGGAGCTGCCAAAGGAGCTGCGTCAGCTCTTGGATATCCAGAAGCTGCGAAAAGAGAGAGCAATGAAAAACTACAGAATGAACAAGGATGGTCTTTTGATCAGACCAACACCCATGGAATTCAAAAAGAGAAACGATCCACGGGAGGATGGAAACTACAGAGATGATTTGGATCACTCTCCCACAAATAAAGCGATGTCCCATCTTACATCCTACCACAATCGGGATGTACTTTGTCAAGAAAAGCTTAAAAAATCAAAATCAAGAGGTAGATCCGTGGAAGAACCTTAAACCAACCTCCAGCTGGCTGAACAAGTGACTTGATAAGCTTAGACTGGGTATTTGAAGACATCCAAATGAAAAAAGGGGCTATTCCCGAAGTAGAAGTGTCAAACAAAAGCTCCTCTGTTTACAGTGACGGCTAAACCCATTGTTGAATGGAAATAATGATGGTCTTTCTTTCAAAGGAAATTCCTTCTGTGTCTTACTCTGCTCTAGGTTTATTTTTGAGATTTGTTTTTTTCAAAAGCTATTTTTGATTGTAAACCAGTGACTTTTGGGTTTCTTGCTTTGTTATTAGACCAATGTCTTAAGTTGTATTGGTTCTTTCATTGCCTGTTGTAGGTGTGTAAAAACTCTTGTTCAATCCAGACGTGTAAACAGGGGAGCTTGTAAGAGGCCTGTTCATTGAGATTAGAAAGAGCTGTCTTGGAAAGATTAAAAAACCTTCTAGCCATCCCGTGGGGGTTTGGTTTCCATACAGATAAGTCTCTTGGTATAGCTATACAACGTAGCAGAGTAAAAAAGTTCATACCCTAATGAGCCATTGTGCTGGCAAAACGAGGGTTATACTAATAAGAAGGACTTCTCTGCCAAGTCAGAGTTATTTTAGGCTGAGAAAAGAAGCTTCCTACTGGAAGCTGCATGGCACTGTTGTCTGTCAACACTGCTCTATCAAACTCCTCTAGGTAAGACTGTAACACTAATGTGTGGAGATGGGCAAGTATGTCTGAGGGAGAGGAAGCAGTTAAATTAGCTTTAACAAATAGCACCCTCTACCCCCCCAACGTAAAATTAGATATCAAAGCAAAACCAGTTTTATTTCCAGTATCCTTGTTTTGTTAAACTACAACACTGGTATTCACCAGAAGTAAAGCTCCTCCAATGGATAGTGTTATTCTACCATGTGACAAAATTAATGTAGGTCATGCCTGAGTCTTGGAATTATTGGGGGGGGGGGAAGGAAGGAAGACATATTACTGTATTTGACTTGTAAGCACAAGACTGTTGAAAATTCTGTGGGTTTGAAATGATGAATTTATAGAGTTATGTATTTAAATACATTAAAAATAGGGCATGTTTTGCCATTCAGATGCTTCAGACAGGGTGGGGAACCCCTGCAGTATAAAGGTTTTGTTCTCAGGGTTGTGGCTATGAGTATTGGTGAACACTGATGGACAACATGAAATACGGAAGACTGGAAAAGGGAAGAGGTGACAAGTCACTGTCCCCACCAGACTGCAGCCCCAGAGCAATCTGCATGTGTGGTACTAGTAATGACACCAGGTTGTGAGGGACATGATGTCTGTGCATGAGTACAGATGATGCCTCTTTGAGCTGGTTTTCTTTGGATGTAAACTGGTGTGACGAGATGCTTCTGATCTGTGTGCATTTCTTTTGAATACTGTTAGGGGAAATGTGCCTTAGGTTTTTTGGTGGGTTTTTCACTTGATTTGGTTTATTTTTCCTACTAGAAAGCAGTATTTAAATATGTCTCTCCTTTGAAAGGACTTGCTTACTTGTGGGAGTGGCAGAAAAATTGGTAGAACTTCCACGGTTTGGTCTTTGTCAGTACACTTTCTACGTTTTTTTTAAACCCTTAACAGTATTGTGTAATCAAAGTGTACAGTTCCTTTGTGTCAGTTCACTTTAGAAGAATAAAAACAGGTTTGAAACAAGTTTGTCCTACAGCTTTTAATTTGGAGGTTAAGCCTGTGTTTGATTTGGTCTGTGAGGAGATGCTGGCGGTGGACTGGGCCCCTCTCCAGCACTGGAGCTCTTGGCATTCATCTGGAACAAGGTTCTTCCAAGCAGTGAAGTATGTTATCACAAAGCAGCAAGGAATGGCACAATACCCCATGCAGGCTCTTCAGAGCCAGAGATGGCTCAAAAGCACTTACATTGTATTCCCACAACTGAAATCATCTGAGGCCATCCAGTCTGATTAGGGGAGAGAGGAAACTGTGATGTATCAAGATAATGGAAGGAGGGAGGGAAGAGGAGTACAAGTGTGAAGGTGTCAAGTTTGGAATGCAGAAAAGTGGTATAGAGAGCCTCTGTGGAGGATGCAAATGAATTGCTGAAGGCACCATTCTCAGCCTCTTCCAAGAAGCAAATCTCTATCTGGAACAGTATTATGATGGAACAAAGATTTCCAGACAGGGACCGGACAGTGCCACTGCATCTGTGCCACTATCTTGCTTTAAGTAGCAAAATCTGCTTGCGTAAACATGGTTGTGGCTTTGCCTGCTTCTCTTTTGGGAATGGCATAAAGAAATAGGTTAGAATTGAGTCGTTCACTGATGGACAAGACTGAAAGCGACCATTTTCTTAAAGGAGAGAAAAGGTATGTTTTGGGTTTTGTTTTGTAATGACCCGTAAGACCTTCTCATACTGCTCAGTGCTAGCACTCAGTTCTAAGCTTGTCCATAATGTGTGACAAAATCATGCACGCTTCTGACCAGTGTAACTGCTGGTTGTAGTTAGGGATGTAAGTACTGTAACTAGTTAAGGCCAACCCTCTAGTGAAGCTTTGCTAGGGCAGCAGCCATGGCCTTATTTTTATTTCCTGGTATCTGTATCCAGTTTGTGCTGGGATGACACAGAGCTTAGTCATGAAGTAGAAATTTCTATCTCCAGGCAGTAAGTGATCTGCCTTAATCATTCATTTAATGATTTACTGCAAGTGCACTACTGGATGGGTCTGGGGAGGCAGCTGTGCTCCACAGCCCCACTCTGCTTTACCTGGCAAAGCGTCCTCATGCTTCACTTTCAGGCCTACTTTGTCCCAAGGTCCTGTGACGCAATTCTTCATGCATGGCAAAGGGCATGTGGTAAAATGCACTTCCCTCCACCACATACCCCACCTTTTGGCCTATGTTAAACCATGACAGTGCCCTGCTCCCACTGCAAAAGGCCCCTCACTGCAAGAGACATTGAGGTACTGGAGTGGGTCCAGAGAAGGGCAGTGGAGC